CTGCATCGATTGCGCTGCCTCTCCCTGCCGCTGCTGCGCTGCCCACCCTCCGAGCGCTGCTCCGAGCGGCCTCACCCCTGCCCTGCTCTGCCCGGCGAGGCGGCGGCCACTGCACAGGGAGCCCAGCCCTGCCTTCTGCCGTCACTGCCCCACAGCCCCTGTCCGTGCCGCACACACCAGCCACTGCCTTCACACCGTCCTCCAGCTCCTGCAGATCCCGACTGCACTGCAGACCCGGCAGGGTCCTGCCCGGCCACTGCACGGCACTGTGCCACCTCCCCGGGCTTCCCAGTGTGGCACAGCCTCTACCACTGGACCACGCCAGGCTGCACGGACCATGCTGGGCGGCACAGACCCCATCAGCTGCCTTCCTACGGCGCAGCACAGCTCACACCACGCAGCCAGTGCAGGTCCCAGGCACTCCCAGAGGTTTTAGGGTCTCCACGTTCTCACTGCACAGCTGCCCTGTGAGCACTGCAGCACTGGGGCCAGCCTGCACCTCGCTTTCCCCACAGCATTGTCCTCTTTTGCTGGCCTTGCCGTTACCCCCAATGCTCGTTAGGCAAAGGACAAGTGACAAACTCAAGTATAAGGCAGCACGGGGACAGAATGATAAAGGGAAATTATTAGTCGTGTGGAGAAAAGTCATCTGAAAGGAAAAAAACCATTAGGAATAAACCTGCATCTTCAGAACAGCACAGCAGCCCAGTGACCCTCCATGTGTCACAGGTAACAGAAGGAAAACAAAACCCACGTGAGTTTAAGAGAATCTAAGTAGGATCATGTCTAGCATGGTGGCAGCTCCCAGTGCAGGTGAGCCCAGGTGCCAATGTCAAACAGCAGACACTGCCTTGAGCAGCACAGGGCTGCCTGAGCACTGCCTGAGCCCACTCCCTGGCAGTCCACAAAAGGCAGAGTTCATGCAGGTCACAGGGAGAGCTGGCAGGGACTCACACAGCTCCACTTTCACAGCCAGAAACCTCACTTTGTGTTCCACACAAATGAAGTCAGTGCAAGCTGGCTGCAAGTGTGGCACCCACACAGCCAGGCTTGCAGAACTGCCACACTCCTCTGCAGAGACATAAGGGAGGCACGTGTCTCACTGACATGCCATTAGGTTTTTTTGGATACCAACAACTTCTAGATGCAGCACAGGAGACCATCAGACTCATGCAAACACCCAGGTATCACTGGCACCAGTTTCCCCCATAGAAGGTGTGTAGAGAGGGGACACGAGCGTGTCTACACAGCCCTGTCCATCTGCAGGTCTGCCCTCCCTCTGCTGCCCACACAACCCCCAGCTCCCAGGGCTGACCCACTCAGGATGCTTCTCGCTCTCACCCATCTGAGGCAGCTCCCTTCCCTCCAGCTTCATGGTAAGCTGGCAGCCAGAGCTGGGCTGGGCCGCCTCCTCCAAAGGCCCCAGCTCTGCTGCCGGGCTCATTTCTTCCAGTAGCACCACTGACTCCTGTGCCTCATCGTGTCTGACTGGAGCCCAGTTTTACTCTGCAACCGCTTTAGGCCTGCTTCTGTCTTCCCCTTTTCATCCCTCTATCCATGTAAGCTGGGTCTCTTTTCCCTGCCTCAACTGCCCTGGTCCCAGTGACACGGAGCTGCCTGCACTGCCTGCGCCCGCTGTGCCACATCTGCTCTGTCTGACCCCAAACCTCACCTAAACTGTCCCAACTGTACCACTCGGCCTTTGAACCCCACGGTGTGCAGGCACAGCAGGTGATCTGATTTCAACAATGAGATAAGCAGGGACCTACAGCACGAAGCCAAACAGTGACAAGGCTGGGGCTTGCTCCTGAACTCGTGTTTGTCACTCGGGAAACCCTACCCCCGTTATCAGATGTCGGTGTGCTGGAAAGGATGAAGTCACACTTCTTGCCAGCCTGGAAAAAACTCAGGAGAGAAGCACTATGTATCACTGAAAATCAGGTACCAGCGCCTGGCAGCTGTCTAACAGCCATGAGATGAATTAACACAGTGATTAGTGGAGTGATTTGGTTCAAGTAGCAAGACTTCAGTCTGAGCGTGTTCCTACTTAGCTTATATGTTTCATTCGCAGGCAGATGTCAAGCTGGATGTTGCTAGGAGATAGACAGCAGGGGAATAATTAAGTCTGATTAAATCCTATCATATTGCTGTGCCGCTTTCCAGAATGCTCTGGAGCTTTTCAAAGCCAAACTGACCAAATGATAGGGCAAGAGCTGCAGCCCATCCTGCTCAACAAAACCCACTTGTGGCAAACCTGCTGAGCCTGTGGTTGCCCACATATCTGCAGAGCATTTCCTGTAGCAACACTGGCCACAATCCGGGGAAAAAAAGCTCTGGCAGAGGGCACAGCTGGTGGCTGCATTAGCAGGTAAAGCAGGACAGTTGGACTGGTCCCTGCTCAGAGCAGGCAGTGAGGGTTCCTACCCCCATGTCCCTGCATCGATGCTGCATGCTGCTTGGGATGATCATGATGGACTAGGCATGACTTGGGCACAGCAGGTGACCATCAGCAAAGCTTCCTTCTGCCCTTCTTTTGAAAGGAGCCCACCTGGGGCATGCCAAAATTGCTCTGCAAATGCCCCTCGTGTGTGGTGCTAAGCACCATGGGGCGTTCCCACTGAACTGATGCCTGCCTGCTTTTTTCTTTCCCGGTGGCTGAGCCATATACTATATGAAGGGCATGTAAATAACAGCTACATGTTCTTTTCCCACCAGTAAATAAAGTTATGCTGTAACTATCTGCATCAGATGCCAAACACACACATCAGCCTCCGGGCTTCCTCCATAGTGAGACTCCTAATCTCCTTTTGCTTCTCTACCCTATAAAAATTATCATTCTAATACTCACACTGTAATCCTTCTCCCCAAATTACAAGTCATCAAATCAGACCTGATACTAATTAATGCAATATTTTATGATTAATTAAACACCACTAAATACCACAGCAAAGATCTCTTTCAAGTAATGGCTAGATAGAGATTACCTCTGCTGATGCACAGGCTTGGGGAATGCAATCTGTGCTGTAAGACTCTTGTATTCTGTCTTATCTCTCTGACTGAACTTGTTTCATTCACACACTCATTATGCTTTATTCTTAAGCGCAGACTCTGTGATCAGCCTGTGGAGAATACTTTGCGTTTCTGGTTGTGCTAAGAACAGAAATGTTAAACAGCAGCAGGCCCACACGAAATAAGCTAAACCAATCTGAACTTGGCTGAAAAATTCTGCTACCCTCCAGATGTTTTCAACAGCAAAAAGCCACACTTACCACTACGGGCGCAGGTAAACACCTGGAGCCTGTCCAGTCAGCTCCCTGAGCACTCTGCCCAACTGGACCCGGTTTCCCAGGATCTTCCTCAGCTGAAGTGACCCAGTGGTCCTGCCTGGCAGTGGCTGGTGAGCAGCTGGCCAGCACAGTGCTCAGCGGTTCATCTCCTTGCAGTAATTCCAATAGTCTGTGTTTGGTTCACGCATAGTTTCCAAGAGAGGAGGTAGGCTTGATTTGGAGACAAGTGGTGGAGACTCCCACCTTTCTGGGTCTGTTTCAGGAGTCCCTCACCCTCACGTTCAGAAGAGCATCCCACCTCCCTGCGTCTGGCTTCAGCTTGCAGACATACCATTTTGTTCTGCCTTCTGCTTGATTAAAGAGCCTTTCAGAGCCTGGCATTTTCTCTTTGTGACACTACACATATGCTGCTAGCAAACCCCCTCTCATCCGTCTTTCTGATAAGCTAAATATACTGAGTTGCTTAATTCTCTTTCTGCCAGGCTTTTCCTCCCACCCTCAAGCCATTTTTTGCATTTCTGCTCTACACAGCCTCTCTGATTTTCCTGAATCCTTTTCAAGATGTAGAATCCCACAATGAGCGTCCCTAATGCTTTGACACAGGGATTAAATCTGCTTTTTCCTATTTTCTGTCTTAAAGGCCTGCATTAGTCCTTTCTGCCATAGCATCAGGGTAAGCATTCAGGCAGGATCATCCTGAGTCTTTTCCAGACCTGCTGCTGACAGGTTAGAGCCACCTGGGCTGGTCAGCTGGATCTCAGCTGCACATCCAGAACCCTGACAGAGGGAGTTTGGTGATCAGGGACACCTTCACTCCCACACACCTTCCTTGCCTGCTCCCTGTCCTAAAATCATGGATGTCATGGCTGCCTCTCCAGCAGCATCGCAGATCAGTCACTGAAAAGATGAGCTTGTATCCACAGAGAGCATGACGCAGGGCACCGTGCCCACAGGCCCTCTGGGGGCCTGAGAACTGCAGGCAGAGTCTAGTGGGATTTTCCTCTGGCCACCAGTTGTTTTACCCAGCCAGGCATCACGGAGCAGAGGAGTGCCACATTTCAGGGGGCTTAGGGAGCTGAGCCTGGCAGGAGAGAGCAAGCCACGGTGAGCTGTCCAGGAGCAGACATCCCAGCTCACAGTAGGTCACTGTGCTGTGAAAGAGAGCAGAGCACAGAACCAAGTTGTGCCTGTTGGCATCCAGGCTGGTTTGAGCGTCCTGTCTGGGAAATATTTTGCAATGCCTCTTAATATTTTACCCAACCTGTTCAGAGAGACAGCAGTCACTGTGGAATCTGGTGCACTGACCAGTTACTGGGCGGCACACCATGAAAACAGCCTCTTAAATAATAGGCTATGTGAAGGTTCCATCTTTAATTCTACCCCTTAACAAACCAGCTAAAATAGTCTCTCCCCAGCAGCACCCCCAGTGAAGCTTACATGAGACCCAGGAGTAAAATGTGGAATCTTGCCCAGCCCATGTGCCATCACTGGATATCACAGCGCACTTCTTCGTGCTGGTGCTGCAGGAACCTGGAAGGAGCCCAGCTCCAGCTGTGGCCACGCTGCTTCTCTGCACCAGGAGTGCTTTCCTTGAGTCTCTGGGATGATCTCTGAATAAATCTGAATTTCAGAGACAGTTGGAGCTGTGATGGCCATGACTCTCAATGGGCTCATCTTGAGCCCTCCAGCCAAGCATTGCCCCGTCCCCTTTTATGCCATAAGAACAGCTGAAAGAGTCAGGTGAGGTAGCAGGTACTGTCCAGCTGCTGCCTCCTCTCAAACGGGAATGGCAGGAGTGACTCCATCTCCCGTGCTGCCACAGAGAGGAGGGAATTTGGCAGAGCAGTGGCACAAGGAGAAAGGTCCCCAAACCAGTTATGCTCGTGCCACAGGGCCCAAGTTAATTTGCAAACATTTTGATGACATAATCACAGACTCTCCTAAACATACCTGTTAATTTTAAATGAATGGTCAGCTGGTAGGAGGCCAGTGTGATTCAAAGAGCCAAAGTAATGGGCAGAGAAATGGCAGAGGGCCTCAGACTGCTGCTGGGGAGGTTAAAGCACAGCTAAGGGCATCCTGAGGCTGTTACACAGCACAGACCTCGCAGGGAAACTCTTTAGTTGGCAAAAGGAAAGGTCTGGCTTGTGAGAGTGAGAGCACACTTTGCCTTCTCCACTGCCATCAACAATTCCATAGACTTTTAATTAAAAGCCTGTATTATAAAGAATTAATAATACTCAAGATTTAACAACTATGTGTATCAACAGCTACATTCTGAGGTCTGTTGGTGAGCCAAGCCTTAATGGGGAGACATCAACAATGGGGAGTGTACCTAGACCCACAGCAACAGTATCCTGATCCAGTGCCATTTAATAGTTCTTAAAACCAATTGCCTGAATGAAAAGGTCGAGGCTTACATTTGGGGGTTATAAAATACTGCACAGGCTGCCTGCTGCTACAGCATGAGCTGAAAGGCCTGGGAAAATGATCACAATGCACAGCACAGTGATGGGCTGCAAAGGAAGTTTCTTGGGAATGGAGAGAACAGGCTGTACCACAGGGCAGAGGATCTCCCAGAAAGCAGGGCTGGGAGGTGGAATTAAGGAAAAAAAGCTGAAAAAGAGGGCTGTCCCCAAGCATGACTGTTGTTGTGAGCCCACAGCACAGCACCTTGGTTCTGAGAACCATGAGTCACAGAGTCATGGAGGGGATTTCCAAGCAGAGCTAGAGCTCTGGCAAAGCCAACTGGATGGCTGGTCCAGCTCTGCAAACTTCACAACAGGCTCAGAAATCCTGAGGAGAAGCACCACCAAAAAAAAGAAGCTAAGGCTTTGGAAATGTGGCAAATAAAGCTGTGTGGGATGTGAGGAGTTCAGGCTACTCCACAGCCCTCGGAGAGGGTCTCCTTGCCAGGGGGAGCAGAGCAGTGCTGTGGGCAAAGAGAAGTGCAGGAGCCAAAGGTGAAAAATTGAAGATGGGAAAAACTCAAACCTGAAAGTAAGTACAGCATGGTCACTGAAGGCTGCAGGGACAGCCATCCCCACCGTGCAGTAGCCTACAAATAAGATTAGATGGTCTCAACTTCAGTTTTTTGACATCTGTGGCTTGAGGATGAAGAAGGGCTGCTGCATGGACATGCTGTTTTGCCCTGACCTGTGTGCATCCTTGGGTTCACCCCTCCTGATCTCCTGTCCAAACAGCTCCAGCAGCAAAGAGGAGACAGGGATTGATTCCTGTGTGATGGAAAAGCAGTAGAAAGGGTGTGGATGGGTCAGCCTGAGGACAGTCTTCTTCACCTGCTCTTCCAGCTCATGCACATGTCTTTCTAAAAACAGGTATGACAGCCCATGCTGGCTCTGTGGCATCACACTGCCTGTAGCAGTGCTCATCACCAGCCCTTTACCCAGAGAATGCCTCATTTCTAGCCTGGAGCTTCAGTACTTAATTACTAGCACTGGAGCAAGCACCTTCAGCTGGCCTGCTGTGGTGATGGGGCCATGTGGCCATGGGCTCCTCTTTACAGCCTCTTCAACCTGAACCCTATCTTATCTCCACTGCTCCCTGGCAAACTGAAGCCTCAGAACCCAAGTAACACACCTGTGACCTTCATACAACACAGCAAACAGCTCTGTCCCAGTGCCTGCCCTGCTCCTGGTGCTGAGGCTTATCTGCTTCTCTTGGGAAAGGGAAGAAAGGAAAGAAGCCACCCAGCATGTCCTGGGCCGTAGGGCAGAGAAGGGCCTGTGTGGGAGGGTGCAGGGGCTGGATTTGCACTGCCTTGACCCCTGTGCTGCAGGATGTGGCCAAGGATTTGTGCTCTGCCGTGGGGCACGGACATGGTGTGTTTTGGAGATTCAGCATTTGTGGCAACCTGTGCATTCTTGCAGCTGCTTTACATGATGGGGAGTTAGAGCAGCCAGGGGGAAGTGCCTCTGGATGCTGAGCTGTGTTTGCTGGCAGGACATGGGCTAACAGCAGCCATGAGGACTCAGCTGCCAGCCACAGGCAGGGGACACAGACACAGGGGTGCTGCTGAAGCACCTCGACCCCCCAGTCGCACATCACCCACAGTCACACAATCCCATGGTGGTAGGTACAAGTGAGAACGGGACTTAGGGAATGCTAGGGAACTACTTCTGTAGTAAGTGGGGTCCTAAACAGTGCATGTGCAAAGCTGCCAGCCCCAGAGGACTCTTCCCCTGCCCCAGCAGCCACAGGGGAACAGCCAAGCCAACAGGTCCCTCACACACACCTCAGAGGCAGCTGCAGCCCACCCAGCCCAGCTGCAAGAAGGCAGGGACAGACCTCAGTCTCTCCAACAAATGTTCCCCACCCTACCCCCTGGGAACCAACTCCCTGTGCCACAGCCAAGGGAATATGAACTTTGTGCAGCCATCACTTGAACCACGGCTATGCTGGGGGATGCTGGCAGGTCCACAGGGCCAGGCAGAAGCAGCTTCTGGAACTTTCCAGGGCTCAGCAGCCAGTCGAGGGAGGCTTACACCTGCAGCAGGGCTGGTCCTTCCAACGCAGGGATGGGGGAAGCTAACCACAGCGAGGTGTTGGTACCAGTGACATCCTCCCTGACAGACTGGTTCCTGGTGGATGGTGTAGATTAACACTGCTGATTTGCACAATTGCCCAGACAAGGCCTGTGCTCAGAGTCCAGCACCTACAACCCATCTGGGTTGGCATGTGAGCCCTGGTGTGAAGCTGGCCCTGGTGTGAACCCAGCCATAGACCCTGGCACTGCTGGAAGTGTTGGGCAGTCACCCCCTCTGCCAGCACTCAGGACACATCCATGGCTTGGCACTGTCACCTCCCAGCAGCACTGTGTCATTGTGCATGCCCAGAGCATCGGGCTCCTGTTTCATGCCAGGCATCCCCAGCAGTGGTGGAGGACCAGCTGCAGACAAGCCTGGCCACAAAGGGATGGCCTCCTGCCCCAAATCTCCTGTCCTCCAGCATCTCACCCAAGTGACCTCCAACTCACCACTCCTTCCACTCTGGCAGCTGCAGCCTCACCCGGGGCTCTGCCAA